TGTATGAAGTTCCCAATGGATCGTTCGATACATGTGAGATAAGATTTGAATTTCGGTTGGAAGCGCTTCGCGGCATATCGTGGTATATTGAATTTCTGTTCCGACGTTGTTGAATAAGCCATCAATCGGCGAGCACGTACATACATACTGCTATTCGTCGAATACTCTCTTCCAATGTGAAGCCGTACATCGCCGGTATTGTCGGGTCGGTAGAATAGAATCACCATCGTCCAGCGATTTATTATTATTCAAGAAAAAAAGATCGAGCTTTGATCGTTGAAGAAGCGTAAGTGCTGGATCGATAAGCACACGCTCTCGGTGGAAGCGTGTCGAGATGGAGATGCTCGATGGAAATACATACATAAAACGCACGGTTAAAAAGCAGCAGCCAACGTTTGTATTTACACGTAATCGGCTGCGATAGCTTCTTGTGTCGAGCAGTGTCCCTCTAGACACATATATGCGACGAATGACGCGTGCGCGCGAGCTCATGCCGGATTAGACGATCGCGCGGAACGTGTGCACGTGGGTACGACGCGAGTTTAGAATTATGCTCTATAAGAGCCAGACTACTCTAGAATTATGCTCTTACACACGTATAAAATCGTACTACGCCGGTGGCACGCATGCGGATCTACGAGCGTTGGTAACGCGGTGCCAGCCAGGAATCAGGTCACTCATATCAAACTGACCTACATACCGTTATCGGCCGTATTATCGCCTTTGATAAAGCGCTTATTAAACGTACAATTATGCCGGGGAAAGATTCAAGGCGCCCATTGCTCTTCCTCCCCCTCCCCCCTCTCTCCTCTCTAGCTCTCGCTCTCTCCGTCTTGATTTCTCTCTGTACACACGTATACACATTTGAACGCGCTATGCATACGCGTACGTACGTGATTGTTCATCACAGGACGATTTCCTTCACTGAGAGACGAGACGTTGGTTTCCCTTCTCGTACATTAGCTAGAGCTATCGATTCGAATCGATCTGCCGTTACCGTGTATTCTTCACCCGATAGCCTGACGACCACGTCGGTAATAATAACGCGGGGTAAAAACACCTCCCTAACACGCTAAAAATAATCGAGCAACAACGACACGGGTGACCTCGCGCTGGCCACCGTCCTTCCTCGACAGTTCGAACTCTTCAACTTGACCTGGATAGAAAAAATTATTGCTGCCCGCGTTAGATTTATCGCGTCTCTCCTCTTTTCTTTTTTTTTTTTTTTTTTTTTTTTCTTCTTTTTTCTTCCCTCTTGAATCTCGATCCGTCGTTCGGTAAATCGTTCTGGAAGATACGTGCTGGTTTTCAATTTTTATAGATGGAAGATCACGTTCGTAGCTTTTGTTCGCCGTTTGTACATTTTGAAACTCGTTAATTGCGATCGCCTCGAGATTAAGGCACACCTGTATCTCGATCGATATCTTCCGACGAAAATAACAGGTTTTTTTCAAAGTTCTTATATATCGGTCCGTGTTCAAACGGTAAGCAACATTAATTGCTCGATAACGCAATCCCCTTTCCCCTCCCGCCGCTGCCACACTACCATAAATTATTATCGTAGTACGTACATACATTTCAAGCGCCGTCAATAAATTTACCTTTATCTTGCACTATGAATTGCAATATTCCTCGCCCATAATACTTGCCCGCGAGTGACATTCGCCGACTAAAAGAACGAAGCGCCCGCGTAGATATTTGCGAGTCTTAATTAGCTTCGGCGAAGATACGTCAAAAAAAAAAAAAAAAAAAAAAAA